AACTAACAGCTGTAAGGATAAAGTGGACTGCATGGTGAGATTTGGAGGTACACGAGGTTATTCCTGCCATTTTACAAGTTAAAATTATTGCAGTTTTAGAAGTTAAAACTAATCTAGTTTGTCTGTAGACTTATTTATTTTTTAAAATTCTTTAAGTACTTTATATGCACTTAATCTTTCTCAGATTCTTGTAGGTCCTTTCCCATAGGTGGTCCCTTACTTGCCTGTAATCCCTAAGGATTAGTGACTTTTTCTTTAAAGCCTTTCATTAAGCACTAATTAGGAGTTCCATGTTTGTGGGTTTTGTTTTGGGTTTGTTTGGGTTTTTTTCATGTACACAGGCAATCTGCCTGCTGTTAATAGGACTTGGTATCTGAGTGCTGCTACTATCTCCTGGACATGGTTTGTCTTTCCAGAATTCAAAAGCTTGTATGGGATATCTGGGATAAGTATCTATAGTGAAAAATAATACATGTATATTAAATAAAAGCAGAACAAGTTCTTATTTCTGACCTATAGCGTGGTTCCACTCACCACTCTGAAGCTTTCCTCCTCTGAGGCTTCATCATCACAGCTGTAGTATTTTGTGAGTTTTCAGTTTAAATGTATATAGCAGAATTTTGCCTTGTTTGTGAACATCACAGGAGTTTGCATTTTCGGTTTCTTACTGAATAATAATTGACTTATTGAATAGATGAAGTCTGCTAGTGTTTGTGAAAGAGAATTGGGGGAAAAAAAAAATCTGGTTAAATATTGCTGAGGGGATGACTGAGTCACGAGGCGTAAAGCCACTTAAATGGCCTTGAGTGTAATCCTACAGCGGGAAGAGGCTTGGCTACGTCCTGCGTGCAGGCACTGAGTGTGAAGGCAGTTGAAGCGCAGCTGGTGTGGTTTACTTGCTCTGTCAGCTTTGCTCTTTTTTTTTGGAAAGAATGGCTTTAAGGTATAAGTTCTCTTCCATAGTGGTTGTTTTCCAAAATGCTTGGAAAAGCAAAGTAGAAAAATAGTTACTGTTTTGCCTTGCTTTTGTCTCCCCTTCAACTCTTAAATAGTCTTACAGAAATTTAAGGAAGAAAGGAAAAGCAACAGTTCTGGACGAAACATGCCACGGTATTGCTGTTCAGTCCTCCCAAATACTGCCGGCTGTTGGGATTCCAAGTGTACTTCTGTTCCAATCCAGTCTCCTTTGCGTTTGGATGTCAACGGACCGTAGGTCTGCTTTGTCTGGGAAGTCTAGCTATGATTTTTAAGCAAGGAAATAAAACGTCTTTGACTACTGTAGGATGTCTTGTTTACTTGGGCCTTTGCGTAAGAGTTGCTCAAGTGCCTTAGAACTGAAAGACCTGAAATTCAGACCCTAGATCGATGAGATCAAATTAGTAAAATTCTAATAGCCTGGGAAGCTAAACCCACTAATTCCTGGTGTGATTGCTTTTTTTCTCTCTACGCTGCGTGCTTGTGTTAGGGGAGGGCAGGGCTGCAGTGCCCGTGTGCTGCCGTTCAGCCCCCTCTGTCACGGCCCCGTCATTGCTGGCTTGCACAGCTCCACGGAGGAGCCTTCTGGGGGGTTGGATTCCGGAGTTAACGTGCTTCTGTGGAACAAAATAGGCATCAAAAGTAGTCGGTACGTGAATGTGGCACCCTTTGCTTTCACAGAGCACGCCTCTGCTGGAAGCTTTTATTTCCATGGGAGCCAATGGCCGGGGTAACACCCAGTCTCTCTTTTGGAATCGGGAGCTTGCTCTTCTTCAGTGGCAGTGCAGGGAGTCTGGTGTGAAGAGTTGAAATGGAGACTGCAAACACTTCTCGTTCGTAGCTTTTGCTGGCTCCTGAGGCCAGTATCGAGATGACTGATGACTTGTGATTCCACACTCTCCCCGAGAAATGTATTGACAACGTGGGGTTTACGCATCAATAAAAGCCACGGGTCTGCCGTTCCTGTGAGAGCAAGGGGAGAGAATCTGTCTGTACTTTGCCTTTTAAGGAGCAAGCCCATGTGGGCTCTGTTTCATTTTACCTACAGCTCTCATCCGTAAAGGTTTTTGGGTGTTACCTCTGTAGTGCTTTAATACTCTTCTTTGCAAGAACAAGGATCATCTCTTCTGGCTCTCCTGGCGTTCAAGGGCTGTGCTTTCATGCTGTGCAGAGGTACGCACCGGGCTGGAGGCACTCTGCTTTAAGGCTAGGAGTAGAAATCTTCATAGCGCTCTTCAGCACGGTGTCTTTCTGCCTGTGAATGTTTGAGTTGTGAGCGGCAAAAAGTAGGGTTGTGGGGTGTGGGAAGAAGGATGGGGGCGTGGAGCTCATGCTGGGAATTTCCCAGCAACTGACATATGAAGTTGTTCTGGTCGCCAGCAGTTCAGAATCACTTCCCCAAGAGTTTGCCGCTGTCAGAATTTGGCTGGGGCAGTAGGGCTGCGTTATGGTCGCTGTGGGTTTTTACTCGGGTTTTTCTGCTGGTTTGTTCTTGCTGCTGGCAGCCGCTGTTAGCCGTTGCTTGGGATTGAAATGCAAAGAACATCAATATCCTTTTGGTGAAAGATGCTGCATGGACTGTGCCCCTGGTAAGTAATTTTCACGGGATGTTGGTTATACGGGCTCGATGTAATAACTGTCAGCAATAACCCCCAGGGAGTAGAAAACAGCTTGAAGGCTATTTCCATCAAATGTAGGAAGTATAACATGGAGAAAAAGCATTTGGTGAGGAGACTTTCCTATCAGTCTAGGCTGACAAAGATTATAACATACTGAATTTAGGAAAGTTAGCTCTTTGAAAGAGTAACGTGTTCTTTAACTTCTTTTGTGTCTCCCAGCTTCCTTAATGTGTCAGTCCGCTGCGTTTTAATTGTGAGAGTGTTAGCTGGGAAAAGGTGATAGCATTTACGTTATTGTCCTTTACCTGCCACATAAAGCAGCTCAGAAATCTTGCATGATAATGGGAAACTTTAGGTAATTAAATCTGTTGCTAAAGGTGTTTTTTAAGCTTTCTTTTATAGCAAGGTTTATACTACTTAAGACTTGGTGTGTTTTTTAAGGGAAAAAATACACTTGATTCATAGATAGAAATTAGCAAAGCGTAACTTGTCAGGAAACATACTTGTTTCTTCCTTTTTTATTGTAGAAACTGAATGAGTCTGAATTCTGGGTTTTGCATACATATGTGTGGGTTTTTTTCCACAACTTGAATATCTCTGAAGGCCACGCAGTATTGAGAAGCACACATGCAAAATATCAAACCTCAGATACTTTAATAGTCGGGATTTCATTACAGAAGTGGCTTAGTAGTGAAGAGTAGCAACAATTAGTAGGTAATAGTGCTGTTCTGGGGCAGTCCCCTTAACAGAAGGGATTCTTTTTAGTGCAGTCAGTATTGACTGTACTAAAAGAAGGGTACCTGTACACATGTAGGGGGAGTGTGGATCACGTCTGTTAATACAGTTGCAACTTAAAACCTTGCATACGGTTTTATGTGCGTCTTTCTATAGTTTATTTTCTCATAATTAAGTCTACTACACAAGATGGATGTGGTGTGAACTGATGCAGTAGCGTTACCTTCAAAGGTGCTACCTGGAATAAATTAATTTAAGATTTGAGGCGGTTTATTGCATTATTCTCAAAATTATTTAAATCTGAGTGTTTCTGAGCTCGGTGTAAAGAAGGGCGTACTTGTGTGATACAGATAATCCTTTATCTCTAAAGTTTTTTGTTCCTCCTTACGCTGAAAGAACTTTTATCCGGTTTTGGTTTGTTTTTTTTTTTTTTTGCATTGTTAGCACATCTGCTGCTGGTGGGGAAACGTTTCTTCATAGTCTCTTCCTGACTGTGTAGACAGTGAAAATGTAGAACTGTGTGGCCTATATTGCGGTCGGTAAAAATCTCCTGTATTTTGCCACTGACAGAACTCAATAAAATGCAGAGGAAATCAGAGTGAGCAAAAGACTTTGCTCATTGTTCACCTACAGAATGGGAAGATGGAGAAGGCAAAGGAAAGAAGCAGTCTGTGAGAATATGGACATGTTTAAGCTCAACTGTAAAAACGCCCGTCGCTTAGTTCCTGCAGCCTGTGCTGTATGGAGAGAAGCTAGCGAGACAGAAAGAACGTGTCTGGCTCCTTTTCCAAAATCCGCGGTTAACTTGCCGTTTCGGTTCGGGCAAGTCGCTTTGCTCACGAACCTCGTCATCCTGGTGCCTCAGGCTGAACCTCCGTGCGAGTCCTGTGTGTCGGAGGGGTTGGAATTTGTGGGTTCAGAGCTTGTTTCTAAACGCAGTGCGTGATGCACACGTACTGTTTGGACCAGGAGCCTGGCGCTGCCTTGCGCCTTGTGCTGTGTCCTGCTGTGTGTGAAATGGAGCTGGTGACATCTTTGATGTTGGTGGGTGCCGGTACAGAGGCACGTCGAAATACGACCGCGTTCTTTCGTGCCTAATGGCCTTTCAGAATGCCGACAGAAAGATACTACGGGCATTTGTTCTTAACTGCTTCACTAGTGAATTTTCTGCAAACCTGAGCTGTCCATTGCCCTCTTTTGTACCTGCTTGAGATTACTTTGGGGTGAGTTGCGTGATTTATCTCACAAGGGGAGGCAGGATCTGTCGTAAAGCCGTGGTATTGCACCAGAGATCAGACCTATTGCTACGCTAAAAACCTGCTTTTTTTTCCTAACTGGCATTGGCAGCAAACTGTGATGTCTAAAACATACGAAAAGCTGGTCTGGGGAAGTGATATGTGGAATCCACTGGGAGAATCATTTGGGGCATTGCCTCGATTGTCAGCAAGTCTTTAGGCCCCTGCTAGCCCGTTCTAGCTGCTTGATGTACAGCTAAAGTTAAAGCTTAACTTAAAAGTTTGGGATTCTGGCACATTGAAATCTGCTGAATGTTTTCAGCCAGAGTGGTAAGTGAAACTGTCACTTTCTGTGCACTCTTTCATTCTAATGCATGAAAATGAAGAGGATTTCCTTCTGATAACGATCAGTGTCGCCTTTGTTTTAGGTGAAAGAATGAGAAGCCGCTGCACCGCCACAGCAGACACAGTCTGTGCCCCCTGTCAAGACGGATACTTCAGCAACGAGCACAATCACAGCTTCTGCAAGAGTTGTACCATCTGCAACACTAGTAAGTCAGCTGTACAGTGGTCGTTTCTCGGTAAGAGTTTGGGAGGCAGTCAGGCTTCACATGCTTTCTTGCCTTGTGTGCTCCTTAAGGACTGGTGTCATAAAGCCTGTCACTTGAGACAACCCAGTCCGAAGACTGGGTAATCATTTCGATAGCTGATATCTCCTGGTTGGTACTGGTGGTAGAGCCTTCAAAGGGAAGCAGGCTTGTACTGCCTGAAAACTGGTGTCTTCGGAACTGCTAATAAACTGCTCTTTGCAGTTGTTTCTACACACAACGGATAGGAATGGAGTAATTATTTTTTTTCCTCTTTCTTACCTTATTTCTTGTATCTCACCTGCCCTTTATTCTGCCCTTGCTAGGGAAGGGGAGCGTGGAAGTGAAGAAGTGTGAGAAGACCTCGGACAGAATTTGCATGTGTGATGCAGGTTACATGCCAGATGTCAGATACACGCTCGGAAGCAGTAAGTTAGCGATGTCTCAGACTCTCCAAACTCGTGCCTCCCCTTCAGATGAGATGGTTGTTATTTCTAGCGTGAAAGCTGTTGTCACTTGTCTCGTTGATATCTCCACACAAGTGTTCTAGCAGGGTAGCTGTGCAAGCTGTTGCTCTGTGATTCCTGAGCTGACAGAAACCTTAATGCTCTCCTTGTTAATATCCATAATTAGCCAGCAGAGAAAACAGGAGACCTTGCCCGTTGCAGTCTAAAATGAATCACTGAGCGTGCTGTGTTACTTCTGACCCAATGACTGTGGTTTTTAGATGCTGTGTGGGTTTTGTTGGGTCTATTCTATAAGCTAAACTACTAGTATAACCTATTAGTGTAATCACTGTGTAGCTGTCGTAGTTACGTGGCTGACTGAACTCAAATTCTGCCTCTTTCTTCTTTTCCAGTATGCTCACTGTGCCCTGAAGGGTCTTATTCCATAGGGAGAAATGAAAACTGCCAACCTTGGACCAAGTACGTGTCACTGATCCAAACTTGTTCAGAGCAACATTTTGGGTTTAATTCTGTCGCAGCTGATGCCCAAATCATGGTGTGTAGAGTAAACCTGCAGCAGGTGCAGTGAAACCACGTTCCTCATGGCTCTCAGGAGCCTGGGGCAGTCTGTGGACTGATTCGAAGCATCTGCCTGCCGTCTGCCGTTCCTCTCTTCACCTGTGGCAATGACAGTAGTCTCGGCCTTCTTTTTAAAGGTCTGGAGGTTTTGAATAGATGCTAAGAAAAACAGAATGTCGGGGTTTTTTGAGTAATAACTTCGATTAGCCTAGTCTAGGAAAGGTGAAGCCTGAGTTTGTATTGGTAAAACGAGGATTGTAACATTCACTCACTTGTTCCATGGCACTTACAAAGTCATTACTGCAGCTCTTTGAAAAACTACACTGATTTATTTTACATCCAGCTGCAGCATTCTTGGGAAAAGCACTCTTCGACCAGGGACAAAAACCAGTGATGCCGTTTGCAGCAGCCGCGTCACACAGGCAGCTCCCTCTCAGAGCGCAACGTCTGATTTGAATCTTTCCACTGTGACACCCGCTTTGGCTCTTTCCACCACTAACCACCAGAATAATACGTCGACTCCAGTGCTCTCGCCATCCAGACCCAGCGTGATTCCTTTCATTTGCCCGGATGCCAACAGCCCCGCAGAGACTAACTGGGGTAAGGAGAGGGAATGACCAAGTCTTTGTGCTTCCTAGAGCTGGTTGGGGCTTTTCATCTGAAACTGGTTTAATTGGAAATGAAATCACTCTCTCTCTCAGAAGCCGTATCTGTGTTTTGCACAGTCTTTCAGTGAGACACACCCAGGATTCCAGTTTTCTTGCTCGTCTGCTTGGCAGCTGGGACTTCATGCTCTGTGATTCAAGGCTGCTTCTGGTGTTCCATGTTCCTTCTGTTGAAGCTGGAAACTCCAGCTAGAACCATGAATCTCTTTCAATGTATTCTTCTTCTGTTTTGTTTTTGGTTTTTTTTTCCAGGTTCTTTATCACTTATCCTTATTTGTCTGATACTACTCATGGTGAGTGGAATGTCCATCCTCCTGTTGATTATCCAAGCAGTCAAAAAAGAGACCAAGAGGAAGCCTTGTAGAAACAACCATCGGGGTGAGTTTCTTTTTATAGGGAAAACGTGTAGGAAAGAGAATAATCAGGGCCCCCTACTTGAGCTTTGATAATTGCGTCGATCATAATGCAGTCTACCTGGCTAAGTAGCACAGTGTGTTCTGCAGTTAAACCAGCGGTTGATCCTCTAGTTAGTCCTGTTGCACTGGAGGTTATAGCGTCACAGATTGGCATTCTTACAGAGCGCAGATTCCCCTGCTTGTTGCCATGCAGAAGGACACTCTATGTCTCTGATTTTAACACCTCCTAGCTTTTTCCTCTGTTTAGTCCCTGCAAAAATGATATAACGATTTTGTGCAGGGAATTCTATTCAGTACAGAGAGGATCCAGAATCAACAGCCTTTTAAAGAGCATATTCCAAACTTTTTTGCCTACATAGATGTGAATTGTCTTGAAGCGTCTCCCGCAAACACAGGAAAGGTTTGACTGAGAAGAGCTGACCTCTATATTCAGGATTAAGTGGCAGCCTGGCGCTTGAGTCAGCCCACAGCTGCCTCATGTTCCGTTCCCAGAGCAATGGCAAAGTGTATTTTCGCTGTTCCCTACGCTTGGTGTTTCCTAGCGCTGGCTGGAAAGACGAGCGCCGACCCAAATGTCACTCATAGTTGTCCATGAAACTAGAAAAGTCACTGCCTTCCCTTTTCTTGCCCCTTCTACTTCTTTTTAATTTGTCTTTCAGGCTGTCGAATTCCTATCCAGGAAGAACAAATTGACTCCAATTCTAGTCTCATCAAAAACTGACTGTGTTGCATTACTGTTTCCTGCATTTCTGAGCCGATCGACTGTGACGAGTAACGTGACGGAGCGTTCTGTGGCTGTGTGTGTGGGTGTGTGTAACTGTTTAATTGCACTTCGGTTCCTTGAGTCTCGCTGAGTGGCCCCTTTGGTGTTAGGACCCAAGGGAGCAGCTGTTCTTAGTAGAATCACATGATTCTGGGGCAGATCCTGTGCACAGCATCCCTGCTGCCGGGACTGAGTTGGTGTAGTCCTCCGTGCGTTTCTAGCCAGTTCGGAATGTAGTGATAGGCAGTCGTCTTTGTACTGAGGAAAGTGTTTATGAAGCTGTAAGAAATGATTATTGAGCAGCCAGAAAAACAGGGAAACCACAAGACCTGCTTTATAACTGAGTTTATATCTTGTCTTACAACTCCGAGATGCTAAGCAGAGCGTGTCTCTCTCAGTGCAGGATTTCCAGTGTTTCGGTCTAGTTTCCAAATGACCTCTCCTCGCTTGAGGTGCAGAATCTCCCCTGATGAACCTAGCCCAGCTTTCTTTGGGCTTCCATTTTTTCAAGTTACTTATTCTTGGTCGAGTGGCATCTGTCTGGTGTGCATCCAGAGACAGCTTTCATTGCTGGTGACTCTCATGCTGGCCGTGCACCGGAATAGCACCAGAAATTCCGGTGCTAGCTGTGAAGTGACCGTTGAGAGATGGCTAGTCGACGTCACCTCCCTCTTCTCTGCATTTCTTCAGACGTTCCCACTGGGAAAATGTCATGTTACCGTAGTGAGCAATATTCCCATTGTCAGGCCGACAAATGGGATTACTCATGATCACCAGGTAGCTCCAGATCTCAGAGTGCTTGGAAATCTCCGTGGAGACCTTCATGTGTGTGGAACGTAGAATATGTGGATTGCCAGAAGGCAGAGGGAATGGTAATTTCTGATTAGAACAGTACTAGTGGAAACAATAGTTCGAAACAGGGGGAAGGGTAGAGCACCGCTTGTCTGCACTGTAAACTTTAGAAGTTGCCGTGTATAACTAAAGTCTTGTCTATAAGCCCTGTGCAGCTGACAGGCTGTGTGTGCTTCCCCTTGGTGGATGTCCTGTTGTGCGGCATGCCCTGGTGTGTCTGTCGTCAGCAAGGCTGCTTCAGTCAAGCTTTGACACCGCCACGGTAAAAGCTTTTCGCTTAAACCACTTCTGTAGGACTTGATTGCTTGCTGGGGATGTAGGGAGAAACCTCCAAGCAAGTTTGGTTCCAGGCAGTGCTCTGGATTTGGGGAAAGTCTGTTTCTGCCTTAGGTTTAGGAGCGTGTGCATGGACATTTAGAGTTTTTCTGCTGATGAATGTTAATTTTGTGATGGTTTAGAAAAGAGTAGCTACTTAAATGTTCTCTGTTGATAAAAGGCAAGAGCTGAACTCAACACAGTGCTGACTATCTGGGCCTTCAAGGGTTCCATCTGAGCAAAGACCGTGTAACAGTGGATAGATGCCGAAACTATGCTCTGACCAGTCATCTGGATGATCACCTTGCGCGTGCTGTCAATGGAACCTGCGTTCAGAACTGAAGAAGTGTTCTCGATGTGGTCTCTGTGCAGTCAAAATACGTGGTTGGTTGTTCACTGTATGAAACGAATTTTACTTCTGTGATGTTTTCCACAAGTTAATTGGTCTGTAGTTTTGGAAAGCATTCAGATTTCAGATAGCAAGTTCAAAAAGTGTCTGAGAGAAACCTAAAGTGTTTTTGTGAATAGCTTTTGATGTGATTTCAATACCTTAGTGTAAAAGTTCAAGAAGAGGTAGACTTGAAAGTTACGTAATTCGGAAGTGTTTTTCAGTTCAAATACAGCTCCTCGGTAGGTCACTCATTAGAGATGGGTATTTTATATACACAGTACCAAAGCATATGCCAAAATATGCAACAGAGAATTTATTCAAGAATACAACTGGTGTCTAGAAACATGTTTTTAAACATATGTTTTCTTATATGTTATACATATGGCGTACTTAGCAATGATTTCCTACTTTAAGCGATTATACAATGTATATAAATATTTGTATTATATACGAAGTGTGATAGTGACTTTTTGAAATAAATTGTGGTAGCAGCTAGATGCACGTGTATGATGTGTCTGATTGGAGAGTACAAACGAGCAAAAAGCTACTCCGGTGCGTCTAATTCTCACAGAAAGCGGGATCACCAAATGGTCGATCCTACGGCTTAGCAGGTTTGAGTTCATGTGCTGCCTTGCCCCTGACTTTCTGTGCAACTTGAGAAAGCTGTGTTTGGTGTTTTTCTTCATAAATCCGGCTCGGCAGCAGTTCTGACCCGAGAGTTGCCGGGACATTCAAGATGATAAGGCTCAGCCCCTTTGAAAACAGAGCCCCTGTGGTCTTTGAAAGTGTGCTGCGGCCTAAAGGCTGTCGTCTCGCAGTGAATTGAGTGGATGGCGAAGCGGCCGTGAATGAATTTGAGAAAAGCATTCCAGGGAACCCCCAACAGATTCTCAGAAGCGATGCTTATCGAGCTTGTAGGCTGCGCTTCAGAGGCAGTAAAGCGAGTCCCGTGTTTCTGTGTAACTGAGCAAGGTGCAGATAACTAATGAGCTATCTGAAGTTGTGGGTTAGGTGATGAAAACAGCCCCCGGGAACAGATGAGCTGTTGCCGTGACAGGAGCGCTGCTGTGACAGCAGAGACCTCCTCTGTGCTGTGGGCTCCTCAGCCGTTTCCACGAATCTTTCTCGTTTTCTGCCCTCTGGCTCGGCAGCGCGGGAAGGCCCCCCGAGCGCGCGGCCTTCTCGGGCCTCCCCGCGGCCTCCCGATGGGGGGATGTCCTGCGGACCAGGGCGTGGGGTCTCTCTGGCTGAAGAAGGACCTGATGCTGGCCCTGGCAGCGCGGAGCAGGGGTAGGGTGGCTGAGGACAAGTTGCGTTTGCTCGTCGACGGTTGGAAGAGCCGACAGACGGCGCGGTGTGCTGCGTGGCTGAAGGCCTGTGACAGCAAGGCCTCGCAGGCTGGAATTGCTGGCTGTTGTGCTGATGCGTACCTGTGAGCCCGTCTGTGCGGGCTGTGCTGCCCTGGAACTGTATCC